TACGACGCAAAACTATTAGCTGTGCCAAGTAGCGGTTTTTTTTTTTGTAAGAAAAGTGAAACGAAATAAAGACGATTGCTGCAAAACGAAGTCATATGTCGATCCACTTTTGATGCAACGTGCTCGCACCCGTCGGGAGTCTCGTTGTCGCGCTGTTCGACGCGACTTCATAACAAAAAGAATCGCGATCGAACCGACAATGTTTTCTCTCAGCGACAACGATCTCTCCTCCTCCGCGGAGGAGGAATGTGTGAATCTGCGTGAAAGGAAAAAAAAAAAAAAAGAAGTAAAATAACGCGGCGTCTCGCGCGCGACAAATTGCGTCCGCGGGACGCGCGGACGTGCTGTCGCCGTACGAGCGCACACTGTCATTGTCATTGTCATTGTTGACCTGCGGCGGAGGAACATCGCAACAGTCAGCTTCGCCACACGACGCGCGTCACATCCTGATTAATTGGCGCGAGTTTAATTGGTCAGGGCGCGGCTTCGAGCGCGCGTCTTATCACCCAAGCTGGACCTTCATTCATTCGTCGCGGCGAACGACGATCGCTGTGTGCGCGCGCGCGTGTATGTGTGTGTGTGTGTGTGTGTGTGTCATCTCGTATCGTTTTCGCTCTTCTCCTTTTTTTTCTTTCCTCCCTTTGTTTTCCACACCGTTTCTTTGCTCAAGACGCGAGGTGTGCCAAGCATACCGAGTGATCTAAGGTGTTTGAAAGAGGAGATCGCGCAGATCGTGAACTTGGAGAGAGCGTAGCGCTTTTAACGAGGACGCTAATAAGACTCGAAAAGAGGGACCATAAAGCTGAACTTTTAGGAGAAACTGCGCGCGTCGAGTGATAGCGAATAATCTTACTGCGATCACATTCAACTGTGTATCCCCCTGCCCCTCGTAGATGAGCAATCAGAGCGCGTTTGCGTTCGTCGTGTTCTCACGGGTGCCGCGTGTGTGGCGCCGAGCTCGATCGTCTGCGATTTTCAGTTGATTCCTTTCCGTTCGTCCTTGTCTCTTAGTCGTCGTCCGCGCGGCGGACGCGCGCGCGCGTCGGACGTTGTTCGGGAGTATCGAAAATCGTACGAGGATGACGTTCTCGGCGTCAAATACGGGCCTTTGTTATATATTTTTTATTCTTATTTAGCGCTCCCCCCTCTCCTTTTCGAACACCCTAGAATCAGTCGTTCTTGAACGGCGCGATGGATATCAAACGAGCAACGGAGGAAAGGGTGGTGGTCGAGGGTGGTTCGGGAAAGACTCGATCGTTGATCGATCGATCACGCCGGTTGATCGTTAAAGTTTCTCAGCCCATCGCACCGTTCGTGAGAGTTAACGCGTCGTTTTTCTAACTTATTCATTGTACACGAATGATCCGAATCGCTGACCGCTGGAAGAAATGAAGAACTCGAGACACGTCTTTCGCGAGACGTCTTCACCATTCTCCGATCAGTGCCCGATGAGTACACACATACACACATATACAAAAGAGAGTCGCTCCGTTTTTTTCATGATTGATTCCGCTTGACAACCCCGTCTTGATTCTCGCGAGTTTGAATGAAATATTCTTCTTCAACGTTCTTCTTCAGCGGTCGGATCGAGAGAACGAATATAAAAGATAGTGAGAAAGTGTGTGTGTGTGTGTTCGTGTATGTGTGTTGAGTGAATGCGTGAGAGAGAGAGAGAGAGAGAGAGAGAGAGAGAGAGAGAGAGAGAGAGAGAGAGAGAATGTATGAAAATAAAGTGAGAGTGAGAGAAGGAACGCGGCTCTGTACCACCGCTCGAATAGAGAGATCTGAAGAGGATCCATGATTGCCGGATTGTCGTACGTTCTATGCTTTAGAAGCGAGATGATTTTCAGACTTGGCGGTCATACGCACACATCAGAACGAGATAGAGAAGAGGGAGAGAGAGAAAGAGCGTATCGAGATGAAAGCTATGTGTAAATCACCGGTTATCCTCGCAGTCGTCGAAATGCTTAAGACTGGTCGCCACGTGTATGTGTGTGGGTGGGTGGATGTGTGTGTGCGCGCGTGTGTGTGTGTGTGTGTATGCATGTGTGTGGTGCAACGCCAATTTCACTTAATCAAACTTTCCCTCCTTCTCCGTGTATCTCTGTATCATGTGTCTGTAATTAATATTGCCATCTCTCGGGCTATTTAATTGCTACTGGTCGTTGACACAATTCAGACTGCTTCGCGCGCGCGCGCGTGCGACGCGTTGCACTCCTCGCTCGCACTTAACGCGCGGCAATTTTGCGCGAGAAGAAGACGCCGCGCGCGTCTTCTCGCGCCTTCGTTGAGGATAAATAGACGCTCGTGTGTTTGTTGTACGGCTATTCGGCGATCGCGGTTCCCCTCGACGTTAAAGATGTAAGGGCAATAAACCATTGTACATTTCTCGAGTACACTTGTATTTGAATGTGTAAGTTGCATAAAAAAGACAGATTTTTTAGATATTGCACTGTCATATTTATTATTCTAAAGTAACGAGACCGATCGGCTCGCAGATCGACTGCGCTCACGAAATCGCGTGCCGCGCGGCCGATTTCGATCGCGCGTGGGCTGGGAGGAAGTGACAGGATTCGTCCCTCCGAGACGATCCTGCGCTTCTCCGGGGATCGAACGGCGGCGCACGAGCACGGTCGATCGCGCGCGCGCGAGCGCCATTATGAATTAATATTATTAATAATAAAACAAAAATGAGGAAAACAAAGAGGCGAAAACCGAACGCATTGTTCTTTCCAATAAGAAAAGAAGCAAGGTTTTTAGTGTTTTCACTACGATTGATAAACGATTCTATTATTATATAATATTATATTAATAACAATATTATTACTGTAATGTTTGTTTTTGGTTATTAAAGTGTGTATATAGTAATATATTCTAGAAATGATCGCTCACGTGCATTTACTTCCACACCGAACCTCCAGCTAGTGAGTAGAGAGCTAAAAGTTTCTTCTTACACATGTATTTATCTAATTTTTGATAGAAATTAATTTCACATGTAAAAACGAGACTGAAATATGATAAATAGTTAAATAGTTGAACGATCATCACCTCTACTGGCAACTTGATACATCTCGACGAAAATATACAGCATTGTAGTTTTAATATTCCTGGCAACTTGAAACTACTTTAAGCTGTAAGATACCTTCGGAACGATCTCATTTTCATAACGTTCATTGTAGTTATAGCTTGCTGAATTTATTTATTCTTCCTGATAAGAAGACACCCTTCAATTTTTGGGTGATTTACAATTTGCCTTTCTGTACGATTAAATTATTCTATTTGGAAATAATATCGTTCTTACGATCTGCAGTTTGCTCATAAAATTTATAAATAAAAAGTTTGTTTTTTATTTGTGCTCGAATCACAAAACTTAGAAATATAAGGAAATTTAAGGAGGACTAATTTGTACTATATGAATTATGCTACTTGTAACACAAACTTCGCGTCTTGAAAAAATTTACCGACACTCATAAAAGTTTAACAGAAATTAACCAAGCGTTGATTTGTAAACTTTTTTAGAAGTGCATTCAATAGTACACGTCGAGTCACGTGAGACGACACTACCTCCAAATCTTTTTCTCCACTGAAACCGCTCTAAAATAATTAACGGTTCAAATATTCACAGTTTTACTGTTTACACTTATTCTTTACATTTATTCTTGAATACTTCCGGTGGAAGAAATTCGAGGATAATCTTATTTTACGTAATTCATCAAATACTATCGATGCAAATTTAAAAGCTTACAAAGACGCTTCTGGTTTAGTATCGGCATCGACAACATACTAATAAAGACCGTTGGTCTTATGGGATTTAATGTACCAGAAAAATCTCGCTGAGCGTCCTCTTGGAAATATCGTGACGGGAATATGAAGCTGTAGCTCGAAATAGCCACAAATGGTGACCACAAATGGAGCCACAAATGATAACAGATATGGAAAAGACATCGGAAAGTATCAACGTCGACGAGGTAATGCTAAAAACTGTTAGCATTTACGAAAATGCTAACAATCTTTAGCATAAATTTTCATATTGGTAAAGGTGTCCCGAAGGAGACACTGGAGATAATTCATGACAAGAGTCATGACAATACCGATTGTTTCAGCTACACCGAAGGTAACACGACGTTTGTATCTTTACTTTAGAAATTGACGAATCACAACTTATTATTCTTCTCATATTCGACTGTAGTTGGTCAATTTCTTACAGCTGAAAGCGTACTACATCTATTGTAAATCCACCCTTACTATGGTAGTACTATGGTAGTTTGAGATTGTTTAATAAGGAATGGTGTAATGGGGAAAACCATAGACATCTAGTATATCTAGTCTGCGCGTTCTTCCAAATTTCAAGAGTAGGGGTATAACTCTCGTAGAAAAGGAAGCTCTGTGTTTTTACTGTTCGTTCTCTCTCGCACAGTCCCGATGGAAGGGGAATAGGGGCGGTGGTTACTGTACAGCACTGTACAGCAGTTGTCTCCCCTATACCCCTTCCATCGGGACTGTACGAGAGAGAGCACGAACAGTAAAAACAGAGTATATCTTTTTCTACGTGAGCTATACCCCCACTCCTCGAACACGCAGTCTAGATTTACTATGTCTATGGGGAAAACCTTAAGCTCTAAACACCATGCCAGGCAACAGGCAATAAGAATAAAAATAGACCAATCACAATAGATATTATTCTTGTAATAGTCGATTGTGATTGGTTTATTTTTATTCTTATTGCCTGTTGCCTGGCATTGTATTTAGGGCTTTATTCTTATTTCCCGGAGCCAATTGGTCTGTTCTTTGTAGCTGCACTGCGGAACTAGTGCAATGAGTTAGAATGAGACAACTATATTTTCTCTCACTTTAACTTATTGCACCAGTTCAGTAGTGCAGTTAAAAAGAACAGACCACAATATTGAACTGAACTGAACTGAACTTTGAGATTGTTGAGGTTAGCTCCTGTGCCTCCTCTGCTCTGAAGTTAGTGGCCTCTGTAGCTTTTTAAACACGTGCCAGATTCATAATATATATAATTGTAAGTAAAATGGATTCAAACAATGAAAGTGAAGAAAAAACAAAAAATTTTCATGAATTGGAGCTAGATGACAGAATACTAAAGGTGAGGCTTGCAGTATTGAACTTTAATATTATTAGGTTAAGTTTGGTTTAAATATATACAACGTAATATCTCGAGAATTACACGTTTGGTTTGTTTGTTAATATATATCAATTTTGAAGAATTAAATAAATTTTTCTATGTATATTTCGTTTTACGTCTTAAATATAACTAATCAATATTAATAATACTGTTTCTATTTATCATTTTTGTATCAAAAAGAACTTAGAAATTAGCATATGTTGTATATATGGTAAATATATTGAGTAATGAATTACACAGGCTATAGCGAAACTAGGCTGGCCAGAACCTACATTAATACAGGAGAAAGCAATACCATTGTTGCTGGAAGGAAAAGATGTCTTAATCAGAGCTCGTACAGGATCCGGAAAGACAGGTGCATTTGCTGTGCCACTTATTCAGAAAATATTGGTGAACAAATGTACTCAAGAGAAACAGGAGATTAAGAGTGTAATTGTCACACCCAGCAAAGAGCTGTGCAAGCAAATTCAAGAAGTAATCGTAAACTTAACTGTAAAGTGCAGCAGAGAAGTCAGGGTAGTTGATATCAGCCCTCAGACAGATTTGAATGCACAAAAGCCATTACTAGTTGAAATGCCAGATATTGTTGTGGCTACGCCAGGTCGTTTGCTGCAACATTTGAAAGCAAAAAATTTAGTTTTAAAACGCAGCCTGGAAACATTAATTATTGATGAAGCTGATCTAGTATGTATTTATCTTATAGAAATATTGCAAATTAAATTGTCTCATTGTGTAATAATGTCTCAGAGAGATTTATACAATGATGTTCAAACTGGTGTTAATTTCAGATATTTTCATTTGGTTATGAGGATGACATGAAGGCAGTCTTAGCTTACTTACCAACAGTTTATCAGGCAGTTTTAGCATCAGCCACATTGTCTGAGGATGTTCAAACTCTAAAAAAATTAGTTCTGCATAACCCTGCAATTCTAAAGCTGGAAGAACCACCTTTAGCCCCGCCTACTCAATTGGCACATTACACTTTGGCTGCTGAGGAAAATGACAAAGCAGCTATTTTGTATGCTCTGTTGAAATTACACTTGATCAGGTAATATATTTCGGCTAGTAGTGAGAAGAGCTTGCAGAAATTCTTGCGAATAAAAAGAGTATTTATCAATCACTCAAGGATTCTACACTCTGAAATTATGTTAGAAAATTATAAGTTTACATTTAACAATTGGTCCTTCATTAATTTCTTTAATTGCAGGGGAAAATCCATAATATTTGTAAATACGGTAGATAGATGCTACAAGTTGAAGCTGTTCCTGGAGCAGTTTGGTATTCCCACTTGTGTCTTAAATTCTGAGTTACCAGCTACTTCGAGATGTAGGGCTGTGACACAGTTCAACAGTGGCACTTACGATGTAATAATAGCGTCGGACGAAAAGGCATTAGAAGAGGTAAAGTAAGGAAAAAAAAAAGATGGATATTGTGTGAACTTGTAGGAAGATGCATGTCATCACCTCCATTTTTTATAGCCACATGTAGTAAACAAGAAGAAAGGCAAACGAAAAAAGGACAAGGAATCGGGCGTAGCGCGCGGCATTGACTTCCAATTCGTGTCTAACATTATCAACTTCGACTTCCCGTTAGATGTAGACTCTTACATACACAGAGCAGGACGCACCGCCCGTGGGAAGAATCAAGGAACCGCCCTCAGCTTCGTGGCGATCAGGGAAAGGCCTCTGATGGAGAACGTGGAAGAACAACTGAAGCACACTTACAATCGCAACAGTCTATTCAAAACTTATCAATTCAAGCTGGAAGAAGTGGAAGGCTTTCGGTACTTTTCTTCTCTTGATTTTCCTGTCGCATCAGGATACTGCGATTACAAACTACGAACTGTAAACCTGTCGCTTTAATTTCAGATATCGCGCGAAGGATGCTTGGAAGGCAGTCACAAGGATCGCTGTTCGGGAAGCACGATTGAAGGAGATCAAGCAGGAGGTCATGAATTGTCAGAAGTTGAAAAGTTACTTCGAGGATAACCCGCGCGATTTGCAGTCGTTGCGCCAAGACAAAGCGTTGCATACCGTCAAACTGCAACCACATTTGAAGGACGTACCTGAATATATAGTGCCGCCTACCTTGAAGGCGCTCATGGGAATCGGCAGGAGAAAAAGAAAATTCGACAGGGATGCAGCGGCGTCAGGAGCTACAGCTGCTAAATCGAGATATCGAGCTCGTGCTTCAAATCCACTGATCAGCTTACAGATACCAGAACAGAGCAAGTGATTCTCTTTATATATTGATTCGAGAGGCACATTGAATTTGATTCGACTGTTGAAAGAGGATTTTTAAAAGGTCATTCATTTCAGCTTGTTCTGTTCTTTATTATTAATAAAATTAATTGAATAACAATATTGCTGTATGTCATATTCGTTTACCAAGAGTCTATTACCTGTCTAACAATTTATTACCTACAATATCTGTATATAAATAATTATGTACAAAATTATGAATTATACGCATATATATATATATATATATATATATATATATATATATATAATTTGTATTTGTATAAGATGGAGATACCAAAAAATTAAAAGTATTTGAATATATTTTCAACAATATTAGTGTATCTAGTCACAATTTGTATATATAGCATACTATTTGATCACTTCTTACTCTCCTTTGGTTTATATGTTTTCCGTACAATATCATTGAGGCCCTCTTTGTTCCTTGCAAGCTCAATAGCATAAAACTGTATTCTAGTTGTGAGAATGCTGTTTTCCTCAGAGTATTCTCCAGTGCAATCTGCTCTCATCAATGTACCAAAACTATAGTCCTCTACAATGTTTTTAAATTGCTGGCAAAAAGGTCTCCATTTTTCCTTCTGTTCATGAGACTTAAGGTCCTCTTCACTTATTTTGTCTACCTTCATATCAGGGAAGGTTTCTCGGAATGTTTTGTAAATTATGTCGTCATGAGGTGTGAGTCTCAAGAGTTTTGGATCAACTGAGCATAAAATCTAAAACATAACATATCGTTTCTCTCCTGTCACATTCGTACTTTTTTTTTTTTATATATTTTATATAATAATAGCGAAACTTACATTGAAGTAAACTTCTGCGTGCTCCATAGCTTTCATTGCCCACATTCTTTCGACACTCGGCTAAAGAATAAATGAAAAATTGAAGCACAAGGAAAGATGAGTACATATTCCTCTCCATATAAATTTAAAGCAAGTAATAATTTTTCTACGCGATATAATAATATACATGTTATTTGTGCATTCACCACTTACGTCATTGACAAATTCCTCGGCGGGTCTCGACAATACATCGAGACCAGGATGCTGCTGATGCTGGAACAATAATTTACGATTAGTTGGGTTATAAACGAGTCCGTCGTAAAATTGTCGATGAGGGGAGAATAAAATCCGCATACCATACTAATGTCTGTCATTGTTTCACCCGCAATTACTTCAATTACAGCGAAAGTGCAAACGTCTGTTCGAGAACAGATAAACACAATCTTCGCAATTGATCCGATCGCACACGCGACGTTCGCGCAACACAAAAACTTAGCATGTGCAAAAAGTATGAATCAGGCATCGACGAGATATTATAAAGACTGTTGATCTTACGGGATTTAGCGTACCAGAGAAATCTCGCTGCGCACTAGCGCCCTCTTACGAATATCGTGGCCGGAATATGAAACATAGCTCGAAATAAGCATGGATGGTAACGGATGTGGAATAATGAGAAAAAGGTATCGAAAGATGAAAAACAAAAAGCCAAACGAATGCAATTAAATGTTATTTATCATCATTGAATATTAATTTATAAATGCATATATGGTATATAAGCATAATTCTTTCAATAAAAAATAAAATAAAATAAATTTATAAAAAAATAAAATATATAAAATGAATTTATAAATGCATATGATATATAAGTATAACTCTTTCAATAAAAAATAAAATATATAAAATGAATTATAAATTTATAAATTCATACGATATATAAGTATAATTCTTTCAATAAAAAATAAAAATTCAATAAAAAATAAAATATGGCATACGTTAGTTATGTATACACACAAGACGATCGGCTCCTGCTCGCTCCTGTCACTATTGATCTGTTTTTTGTAGCTGCACTGCTGAACTGGTGCAATAAGCTAGAACGAGAAAACCTATATTTGTCTCACTTTAACTTATTGCACCAGTTTAATAGTGCAGCTACAAAGAACAAACCATATGAGCAAGGGAGTAGGATTAAGAGCAGCCATGAAATATAATAGTTGTAGATGGAAGTGTGTACTGCTCTCTACAGATCCAGATCTCACTCGCTCCACTCTCGTTATCGTAAGCACCCTCTGATATTTTACCTCGTCGGTGGCAGCACGGCCATCGACAACGCCGCGATGCGTCTGTCTTTTTTCCTCGAGGAACGATTGTCGATCACGGAATACGATACGCGAAAAACATGAGGCGCCCAAGAGGAGTCTGTCAAAGCCAATGTCTATCAAGAGGAGTCTGTTCATGAACTGGAAGATACGCATGAAGGATCGTATCCTTAGGTACAGTACACCTCGATGTATGACGATGAAATAACGCGATGGAATCTCACAAGAGTTCCTTCTTTTCCCGGAATAGCGTGAGATCATCTCTTCCTATATCTACGCGCGGCAAGGAAAACTTAGCGCTCGCGTAAGTACGCAGTTGTTCTTGTGGTTCGCGAGGAATGTTTTCAGCGTTACTCGTATAACAATATCGCGAGCAAGCGGCGTAAAAGTAAAACGGCGTAAAGTCCACGTGAGATCCCTGAAAGAAAATATTTGTCGCACAAGAAAGTTTCGACGGCGACTCGATTAGCCGGCTTTGCTCGTCGTCCACGCGATTTCGCGCAACTTTGAACCCCGTTTAAATTTCCATCTAATCCCAGCGCACGGCAGCACACGAAGCACCGCTCTTGCATGCTTCTCGCAACGGTTTCTCGCATAACGAAATGTAAATACGACGACGCGCGCTCGTTGCGTAAAGCGCCGCGAGACACAAGCTTACGCGCGAGCGGCGCAACAAAGCGCGCAATTATCCGTTGATTACTGCCGACGTTTAACAGGTTCTTAGGTAACTGCGGCTCTGGCGAAACAATTCCTTTCTTCACCTCATTTCTCACCTGAGCCCATAATCTCGCGCGCAAGATACGCAAGATTGCGTATCGGGCTGCTTCGTTTTTCTTATCACAAATGTCGCCGCGCGCTGAGTGTAAATTGCTCGAGACTTATCATCGAGCGACGTTATTCGCCACAATCCATTCATTGGAACGGAAGCTATAACGGGCTGCGATGAGCAAGCACCTCTTCAGCAGCCGGGCGATGGAGGAAGTCTCGCTAGTCACGTTTGCGATTCGCTCGCGATCGGAGCGGTCGATTTCACCGGTGCGACGAGAGCCTGGCGGTTCGCCTCGCTCGCTTCCCGCGAAGAATTTCGTGTCTTTATCGTCCCGCGAACCGACTGACACGGGAATACACTTTGGCGAATAGAGTATTGCACACCCGTCTTATCCGCGATAAGATTTTATCACCTTCCACCCGAAGAGCGCGTGTTATGAGTCGCGCTGGCCGTTATTCACGCGAAATTAAAATAGAATTTTTTGCGCGAGTTGATAACTAGCTGCTAATTAGTCGCCCTCTCCTCCCCCTGTCGAGATGGGAAACGGACAGTTCAGAAGCGGTAATTCCAGAAGCTACCATGAGTCTCGGATGGCCGACAGGATGTAAGTCTCTTCGCTCATTCGCGTCCTGTTCTCTCCCAGATTTCTAAAAACCGTCTTAACCTTTAGAGGACCGGCATTTTTTCTTTAAAATTTGCAATTTTTTTCGCGGAAAATTTATATATATATTTTTGTTTGTTAGTGGCTTCTCTATAGGAACCACCCCGGTCCAGAACGGGACGGCCAAAATAAAAAATTTTCAAAATTCGGATCTTGGCATTTTAAGGGCATTTTTTTATATCGCAGATCATCATTTTTATATCAGATTATCGAAATTTTACAAAGAAAGACAATTATTTACCTAAAATAAGTCTATATTACTATAAGTAATCTCATACGGTAATAAAACTTTCCTTTAGCATAATCCAGAGCTAACAACGTGGACGTAGAAAATTATGTAGCTCCTTTGTTTCTTTATATTCTTTGTTATTTTAAAATTAAAAAAATTTTTTTATTTTTTTATAATTTTTTAAATTTTGGTTTTAAAAAATTTTGGTTTTGAAAATTATTTTATTTCAGAAACTGTTTTTCTGTATTTTTTACACTTATTTGTTACTTTTAGAGTGATTGTTATCACGCACTGTGCGCAATCGAAACTCTAATAGTGTTGTGTGCTGATTTTATATAATTCTGAAAGTGGATCTATTATAAATAAAAACGTACTGAGATGCAAATTACTGTGCAGTTAAAACGTGTACTTGTTAATAAATGTTTACTTACAAGTAAGGTAAAAATCACACGGACACATATGCAAATATATTTTTAGAGCACATAAATATCGACATAAATGTATAAATAACTATAATATAACTATAATTTAAGAAAACACTGAATGCCGATTTATATGTGGCTCCTATAGGAGCCACCCCGGTCCTCTAAAGGTTAAGGAAGTTTTAGAGGCGTCTAGAGAAGTAGGAGATATCCGAAAAGAACAGAACGTCTTTTAAACGAAATCCTTCTCTATTCAAAAGCGCCCTGAAATTTCTACCGTATACGAGCAGTCTGAATGTTTGCTACAATTTAATATTCTTCATTTGACGAAGCCCTAAACTTAGGATTCGGGATACACAATGGGTTGAGCATGGGTTGACGGACTTATGACGCTAGATTTTTGTGAGCGTATAAATTTGCAAAACATCTGAAATCAGCAACATTTACTCGTGCGTATTTTTCCGCACGCGCCACGACGAATGCGGGAAGCAATCTCTGACTAACACTGCGTCGCCGTTTTCCTCGATCCTGGCGGCTCCGAGCGCGTCGTTGCGGTGAAACGTTCCGTCCGATAACTCGAGCATTTCCGCGAGTTCGCGAAGAACCTCTCCCTCGACCCGGAGGAAGAATGTCGAGAGACATTCACTACCGGTGGAAGCGCGCGGGCCGCACGATTCGGCCTTTCAGAAGCTCACAAAGACGCTTAAGCCCGTGTCACACCACAGGTTGAAGATCAAGGATTGCGGATTGAAGATTGAAATTTGACCAATCGGAATAAAGCGAATCAAGACCGTTCGTTCGTTGATTTGTCGTTGAAATCTAAGCTTCAATCCGCAATCCTTGATCTTCAATCCGTAGACCGTGTGACACGGGCTTTACGCCGTTTCGAGGTGCCCGTTCGCGCTATTCACGCGCGAGATTAGGAGCTCTTCCGCCAACAACGGCGCTTTCTCTATTTCGCCCAGCTCGCAAACGTAGTACGTCCTCCTTCCTTTCAACGCGCGATCACGTAGGTAGGTACGCCGTTCCTCTCGCGCTTAGAAAGCGCGACGAGGCGCGCCAGCTGACAGAGTCGTCGCGTCGGCTGCGCGCTTGTTATTATTGTTTGTCATCGGCACGGCATTGTGATAACTCGGCATGACGATAAGAAAGCGCTGAGCAGCCAACGGCCACGCGCCGCCCGGCGCGTCGGACTCACATATCCGCATTGATTTGTCGTCGGCCTTCACGCTCGTGCAACGCAGGGAGGGGGAAGTCGATAGCAGTAGCAAATTACTTCGAAACCGTCGCTGTGCGTTACATGCACATACGAATGCGATACGTAGATACACGCGTCACAACACGGTACTCGCGTCGCCGAGCGCGACTAGACTGGAGGATCGCGGCGAGAAGGCAGTTCGTGCAGAGAATCCGTCCGGATGCTCGCTCGCGCGATGTCCTCGAGACAATTCCTGCGGCCGCTCGGCCGCCGATTCACGGACACGGAGTCCTTGCGCACCTGGTCAAGCGGGCTGCGTTACGCCGCCCAGGACCTTGAACCTGATACCTGCCGGCGGCGTCAGCTGCGCGACGACGACAGGTGAAGCGAGCAGCGCGCGCCGCCAAGTACGACAATCGAATTCCGATACGACGGCGCGCGATCCTTGCGTCGTTTCCTATTCCGTTGACTTTTACTCTTTGTCCGATTGCGCTCGGCTCGGCTCGCGGCTGGCTCGCGCGCCGCCACGTCGGGGCGGTTGATTAATTAGGTTGCCGCGCGGTCGATTAATTAAGGTATCGCGCGCTGTGCGATGGCTCGATCGAAGTTGCATTCGAGTGTGCATCCGAGGTTGTGAATTAATTTATTTGTCGCCGTTTCTTCTTCGTTCACTCTCCGTGCTTTCCTCTCCCTTCTTCGTGCAATGACGTCTACCACGACAATTATTTACGATCGCTCGGCGAGTAATACATAATTAATATGTAAGGACACACGACAGCTCGGTCAAAGTTACTCTTCCTCGTGGATCGTCGCCAGTGGATTATTCTGTCCCGTTTGTTCTTTAATTTCGATTTCGTTCTTTCCAGTCTCTGACTCTCTCTCTCTCTCTCTCTCTCTCTCTCTCTCTCTGTCCTTCCCTCCCTCCTCCTCTCTTCTCTGTCAATCTTTTTTCTTTGTTTTTTTATTCTAGTGTCTTTACGACATTATGTACTACCTCGGTAATTGTACTAATTATCGTCTTTCTTTCTTCCTCTCTCTCTCTCTCTCTCTCCCTCCCTTTCTCTCTTTTTTTCTTATTCTGGTATTACGACATTGCGTTCTATCCCGGTAATTGCACGAATGATACGTAGTCGCAGCTCGTGATTCGCCGTAAACTTTAAACTTTGATCCAGCCGAGGCGGAAAGATGGAAACGCTCGTCGATCGATTCTGACGGGCCGCGTCGCAAACTTTGCACCCGTCGCGACATGGTGGGGACTCTAATGTTTCATCGAATCGATATCCGCGATCGTTTGAGGACAGGTTCTGCGCACGCTCTCGGCGGCGCGTAATCGGACGCGATATATTTTCGTCGTTCGATAATCGCGCGACGCGCGGCTGCGCGAATCAACACGCGTGCGCCGAGTCGTGCCTCCTCTCAGGTGCGTACCCACCTTCTAGATAAATGGTAATGCTGAAATAATAAATAAAGCGTATACGAAACACGGTGGAAGGTGATATCGTTCGTTACGAAGAACGATACTTCTCGCGTGATTCCCATCGAAATCATTTTGCCCCCTGCACAATGATTTCGCGCGTCGTGTACAATCAAACCAATCACACACATACGTACAATATCAAATATTAAGCTAAACGTTTAACACACACGCGACGTCAATTACAGTTTCGCACGAAATCCTCGCTACGTAGAGATCTGTTTCGACTTTGCCGGCGAGTTTTACAGCTGAAGGACCGCTTCGTATACACCCGCAATATTTCATATGAGAGAGCAAAAAATCTTATACCTACATGTACATTCAACTTTCTTAAAAAAAAAGAAAAGAAGAAAAAAATTAGGCAATAAGAGAAACAAAAGATACGTCCCTCAGCCGTTTGAGATCGAATGTAACTTTTGTTTCTCACTCGGACTTGGCGCGCCGACAGATACGGCGGTGCTCCTTAATTCCCCGCACTCTTTGATCTCGCCGACGCGACGTTACGTCAGCACGTCACTATTGCGTCCTCTACCCTACCGGCGTACCGTCGGCCTTGCTTTTGTCCCTCCACTCCTGCTCACCACCGGGCGTTCGCTCACAGGACCCACGGCGGTAGTCAGCCCGTACGCAGCAAGAGCAAAACATCGATCATGTCGAGCTTGGAGCGCGATCAGCTGGGCCAACGGGGTAACGGCGACGCGCCCTGCGTCGGTCTTCTACGCGGCCTCGACCACATCAGGGACCCGCAGCTCAACAAGGTAGGCTCGTCACGCTTGTCACGTAACGACAATTAAATATCGCCCGCGCGATAATCGGACAATAGTTAAATAGCGCCGCGCGTTCGATGTTTGCGCGTGGCGAAAAACGCGTCTATTATCGACACACTCTCATATTTATTGCCAGTGTACGAAAATCTGTAAGTATCAATATAAGCTATATAGATTTTCAGTATTGACACAGTAGATATCGGAACGCAGCCATGATCGACGGAGCAAGTGACGAGAGAATTCGCGAAGAGCCACGTTGGGGAAGTGCCATGAGAGGATCGTTAAAACATTTATTTTGTTTTATAGCACGACGATAGATAAGCGAGCTCGCCGGTCGCCTCGTCGGTTCTCAGTCGAAAATTTCTTGTCGACTCTCGCGCATTGAGTTTCGTCCACGAAGCAATGTCGAGGGGAATTTTTCGAGGCGCTCGTGTGTTTCTTTCTATGAAGACCATGCTACGCGATAGTCGTCGGCGGGATTCCGATCGATCGCTCGAGGGTAGAGCCGCGTTAGCGGTTTTCTACCATGAGACTCTACCAAAATAATGAGGAAACAACAGGGAGTCGCAACTTTCGAACGCGTTTATTGGTACGCGATAATTATCAACGAGATTATAGCTCGATCGATAGCCACCTGTTAACTCTCACCTGGACGGGCTTGAGTTTGCGTAAGGCGATACGATTGATCGCAAAGCGACGTGAATTAAATCCGAGTTTCGATCTCTCGAGCAACGCGCGTCGCCGCTATTTAGGCCTTGACAGACCGAATTCTCCAAGCAACAAAAGGTTTCCGCGAAAGATACTTTCACCGGACACCCGAATCTGATCCACGGGAACGTGTGATCGTGCAATTTTTGAACTCTCGTTATTCCGTGCAAAAGAAAAAAAGGAGGAAACCCGCGAGGAATAAGGCATCTGGGACGCATGCTTAACTCTGGACGTCCTTGTTATTTCAGCATGTAAATACGAGTATTTAAATTTTCAGCATAGAATATTCGTATTAGGGGCATATATACATGCCTTTAAATAACAAATTCGCCAATAATTCGAAACGTGATAAGAACGCTATGATTCGACGGCAGATTTAACATAAAAAAAAAAATATATATATATTCCACGTTGAAAGTTCAACTTAAAAGCCAAAAATAAGAATGTCCACATGTTATCAGCATTTTTGCCTTAAATGTATATCGCGCCATTGATACTTTTACTTTACAAACATTTATACGAGACGGAAACTAGAATATCTGAAAACTAAGATAGTTTCACTTCGCGTCGAAGAATTTTCAGCCACGGACGAAACATCAGAGCGACCAAATGAATGTCATACCATGTTGCGAAAGAAATCACATTTCGAAAAATTTCGATAAATCGCGAGCTGTGATTTATGCGGATTGACGCATGACACGTGCGAAGGAAATTCGGCGATTTCCTTCGCATGCGCTAGCCGAGGGAAAGCGCGTTGCGTGAAAATCACTAACGGTTCGAATGTGATAAGAATGCTATAATTCGACAAAAAATCATAGGATGGCTGTGCAAAATATAGGAGGTGGGGAGTCCCTCGTGGTAACGCAGCAGCACCGCGATTGTGCGCAGTCTCGGCAGTGCGTTTGGTTGTTCGCTCGACACGGCCCTGGGCCGTATTATGACCTTATTTACCAAATTTTCGCACGAATTTGGGTGGGTCCGTTCGCGAAGTCCCCAGGACGAATTTTGACAGGTGAAGGATCGGCGCAAGTGATCCGATCCTGTCGCGCTGCCCGAGAAAGACAAACGCCCAGATACACACATCGACGATAGTTCCACGCACATATTCCATTCTCAATTTTTTTCGCGAATAAAGCGCCATGGAGATTGCCAAGGACACATTCTCATAGATAAGAAATTAGCACAGGTTACGCGAGTGATTAGAATTCGATCGCCAGTCTACGAAAATATATTGTTTAATATTATCGCCCGTCACGACTCGCTCGCGGCTAGAAACGACTTCGGGACGTTTTCCGATCGGAGATCGCACGCTCGTCTCGGCTGTGTTCAGCGAATACAACGAATGACCGAAAGACTCTTGAAAGATGGATGTCGTTGTTACAGCTAAGAGCACACACCAAAATCATATGTAATTTTTCTCGAACAACATTTGTCCGAGTGCAATTGCAGTGTTCTCTGAGCGCAGTCCTCCGCGATGACGTTCTCGTTTCACGAAATGAACGAACGAACGAGCGTGCGTGCGTGCGTGCGTGGGTCACTTGCGGTAGGTCACGGAGTCACTTTATATTCAAGAATTCTTAGGGCGGCCTCTATCGATCCGCGCACGCCGGCCGAAGGGATGCCGTGCCGTCACGGGGAGTCAAGAACCCCGGCAACCGTTTCCACGGCCGGTTGTTTGTCGCGGGATGCGGAAATTCGGATGTGCGAAAGTTCAACGGTAGATATCGGTGAGAGTGCTCCGTGATGAAGGAGCTGAAGGACTGGTGGTGCCTCGTGCCAGAGCAGGATCGAACGCCGCGCATCCCCGAGGCTTTGCTCGCTCTGGATGGAAGGGTATTCGTCCTGCTTGCTTGTTCCGTGCGGTTTTGCAACCGGATTCGCACGCCCGAATCCTCCTGTCCTCCCGCGGTCCTCCACGGGACGAGGAACTCGTTTTCCGCTTTTTGACGCTCATCGGATTTTTTAACGGTCACTCGCCCTCCCACCCCTCCCCCGTTTCTCCCTTTTACAACGTCGCGTGACCGTTCTTTTAACATCGAGGAAATGCCTTTTGTATTGTGAAATTGTTTGTGGGACTAGTTTACGCTCAGTCGACGAAAAGTGAGTTTCAAGTCTCATTAATTGTTTTTTTTTTTTTTTTTTAATACTCTTCGTGTATAATTGAATGCGAACGCGCGACTTGAGTATCGTTTTATTCCGCGCAAACCGTAAGTTTCTTCAAAAATAGCAGCGAAGAACATTTCCGCAGATAGCCTTGTGTTGTTATCATATTACTCATACCTGGATATAGACTTATCTCGAAGATCCCGTTAAAGGATAATAATATGTTTGTTTCTTGACCGTTCGGGAAAATAGTTTTAAGCAGCGTGAATATCGAAAAAAAACGTATTTATAGCTGCCTGCGGAAAACTTGAAGAAAAGATGTAATAATAATATAAAAATTCTTAACGCGTTGTAGTTAAATTGCATTGAGAGCATTTTCATACATTCATATTCTTCAAAAGCAAAGTTCGAAATTAGAGAAACAACTGTCTCCGAGAGAGAAAAAATTGTTATCAAGCATTACGGCAGCGAGTGCTGTCGTAATGGAACTTAAATAGAAATTTTGATTAGTCATCTATCGAATATGCAAACTAAGAAATGGTTTGATACGACCGTCTCGGTGGAAAAATACAGGCTCGGCGTAACGAGCGCGTGAACCTATTGAATTAGATACAATTGTGAGACAATTGTATTATACATTATTTAATTAATTGTATTATACATACAATGTATAATGTATAATAATACAATATTCATCGAGGTAATCAAGTCTTTCACATTTTGGAGGTTAGATATCAAATTTAATTAGAAAATTATTATTAGTCAATATTATTCATGTATGTATGAATGCTCCATATTTCTTGAGAATCAATTTTACATAAAAAACGCGATGTAATTATCACCGCGGTAGATACGTTATCTGCATTTTCATTGGACGAGTACGAGATGTAATATTACATTGTTATCGAGAACGTATCGATTCTTATCTATTTATTTTCTTTTGTACTTTTTTTATATGGACCTAGATAACTCGTGTCGCGCGGCAAACGTGTCCGTATTGTACAAAATTTGTTTCAGAGAGAAAAAGAAAGAAAACTAAAGAAAATAATTAAATTGACGACTGATTAAACATCGAATTTCTCTCGACGGGAATTTTCGAGTTAAGAAAGAGATTCTTGCAAAGGTCGAATCGAAGATTCGCGAAAGCGGAGGGGAGCGAAAGCGGAGGACACGTTCGCATCTCGTTACGTAGTTTATCACTTGTGAAAACGGGAAGTGCGAGTTGCATGATATTATAATATCACGATGCAGCGCGAATTGACCTAGCCAAAGGAAATGCAGCAGACGTCTCGATCGCCGGTGTGAACGCGAACAGAATTCATTTATTGTGTTGCGCGCGTAAGTAATACGTACGTAACCCCAAGTCTTTCCGGGTGGCGGAAAGTAATGAAATCATCGTGAGAGAAAGAGAGAGAGAGAGAGAGAGAGAGAGAGAGAGAGAGAGAATGCGGTTCATCAACCGCGGTTAAATAACAAGCATAACAGGCAACGAGTACAACCTCGCAAATCACTGTGGTCTTCGATGTTTGACGTTTCACTGATTGAGACATTTGTCACGTTATCGCGCTATTATTTTATGTCGTTACGTTGTTCCGCGCGTTCGCGGCTCGACGATTTTTCGGTCGAGAGGAGATAAGGGGACAAAATAAGGGGACTGGAGAGTCAGATTGCTGAAAAATCGTGTTTGTTTTTGATAATATTTTGTGACGAACTGAATAAATGCGCAAGAATGAAAATTTTAGATATATTCATACAACGTATGAAGAGTAGAAAAATTTTGTTTATTAACAAATATTCATGTAAATATACGATATATATAGCTGAAATATACTCTCTTTTTTTTTCTCAAGTTGTCGTTTCTGCAGTAATATCTGGGCTCTCGATGGTCCGAAGCGAATTTTAGCTAGAAATCTTGAGGAGGCTTATCATTATCCGGTGAACCACTACAAAAAAGAATCGAACAAAATTAACAAAATGGCAGCTATTATTACGAAAAAATTCAAATTTTTCAGTTCTTTCACAATATAAAAATTAATATCTCGAAATGAAATATTTTGATGTAATTGTCCATAGTTTATCTGAGAGCCAGATGAACAAATATTATTGCTTTAAAATTTCAAATCGATACGAAGCTCAGTTTCGGAGAAATCATTGCAAAAAGTTGAACAATAAAATTTCGAGAAAAACGCGTTTAAAATTTACGTGGACGTATATTTATATGAGTATTTGTTAATAAACAAAATTTTTCTACTCCTCATATGTTATATAAATGTATCTAAAATTTTCATTCATGCACATTTATTCAGTTCGTCACAAAATATTATCGAAAACAAGCACGATTTTTCAGTAATCTGACCCTCCAGTCCCCTTAATGTACGTAGCCGTTCCGCTCGTGAAATCTCCGTTTTCTAACAAAAGATACTCGTTATTCTCTCACATCATGGTGAGTCGTGATTATTGCAATTTTGCAAAGCGAGAGAAACCTCTAAGATCTAAATTTGAGTGAATCTTTTCGCCAAAGTCGACGAAGTGACGAAATCAAGTGAAAAGGCTTGTTCGTGGAAAGGATTCGACCCTCAATCACCTGTAATTTCGAAAGCACCGAATTTTCTGCGGCACACACCGAAGCGCGAACGACAATTAATTAATCGTTCAGCCATGTGCATCGCGCGTATAATAACGCTCGTCGATATAATTGTCGATGCAATCGATGTTAATCTATCCGCTGCAATGAGGGGGAAAATTGCACGCAAAATGCGAACGAGCCGAATAACCGCTCGATTTCAATAACGGAACAATCATAACGCGTTTGTGACGGTGCCGCGCGTTTAATCGGGCGACGGTTCAAGGCTGATCCGACTGATCTGACTAAACATTCACTTAAAAAATCACTGGCAGTGTCCCTGTTTAAGATATAACCATGTCACTCTGTCAAACACACTGTGTGCATACACCTCTCCGTCCATAGTTCGTCCGAACATACGGAAACTTCTTTTATTCATGCCACATCGCGATTATAAATTGCAAGTTGTGACCTATTGCGTAAAACGCGAATGACGTTGCGCAACGCGATGGATTGTTCGCGAGAAACGAAGAATTGAAGATGCGGGGCTGTTAAGCGTCGATCCGGCCGCTCATAACATTTGCATTTCTCTAAATCGCTTTTTTATTACCTATTTTATCGTACCTATTTCTGGCTGCTGTGTGTGTAAATGATTCTCTCCTTGTATCTATCTCGACTTCGTCTCTCGTTCTTTCGCTTTGATTCCTCCGTGAGATCTTTATTTAAAACTCGGCCCCGTTCAATTTTTATCGTCTTTCGCGTAACGCGCCCGTCGTAACGAGCTCGCTTAAGCGCACCACGTTCATCACTTCGTGCCGCGGAACACAACGCCGCGAGCGGTTGCGCTGGCGTATTATCCTTGATGGTGAAATGTAGATCATGGGAAGTAGCAGTCCCGCCGAAGGCGGACACGTGTCCGGATCGTCTCATCGTATCACCGCGTGCGTCGACCAAGGCGCTCGCAAAAATCGAGGTGGAACGACCATCAGCTGATCGCCTTTCACACGCACTCGCGAGCTCATGAGCGAGCGTGGCGTCAGCCGAACTTGCCTCGTCTCTCCTCCCGGATGTGATCGTCCGAGCGACATCGTCGAGTAGGGATGCCGATCTTTTTCTTTTTTTTTTCAAACAGATCGATCTAAAGATCGATTCGAATCACGAAGAAAAGAAGAATCGGTTTGTAAAGAATCGATTTGAATTCGGTATGCATGCAAAGTGAACTACTCATTAAAGTATACTATCCGTCAAATTTCTACACTCTAAAGTAGGCCTCGTGTAATTCATATATAAGTTTAATATGACTTAAAGAAATTAAACAGACTGTACTCTTTTGGTTGTGTCGTGTGTGGCCACAACGAGATAGAAGAAGATCTTTAAATCTTTATGCTATGAGGATTTAATTAGTTTGATTACAACAGATCAATCCAGGGTTTTTAAACGTTATTAAATAAGAAATCACGTTTACTGTTATATGCATATACATATATATATATATGTATATAATATATACTATTATATGGAGTGGCTGTGATTGGTTCGCGCGTTCCGTTCCGCTGAAAATTTTCGCCCGTGGGACATCGGCCTAAAGGCAATGTAATGTGCATCGTGCAGCCATTAAGTGAGTTCAAATATTACAACTAAAAAGAATTAAAAAAAGAAAACCTATATTACTAGTAGAAACTGAAAAAATCGTGTTGACGATTTTCAGAATTTACAGATTCGCCTCTTTCGCTAAGTCGACTCGCGAGTCTTTTCGCAATTCATCATGCGGCAAAAAAAGCGCGGATTGCGACCTATCGCGATATCTTGCGCGAGAAAAAATGGCGTTTTCGTTTCTCGTGACACACTTGAAATTTCTGCGAGCGAAACTCCAACAGCGAAATAGCGAAAGTAACAAGTTCGAGACCTCTCTCGAATTCGTACTCGTACTTTGCGCGAGGAACTTGGAGAGTACTAGAGATGTGCGAACTATTCGAATTCGAATCGAATCGAATCGAATCTAATGTAATTCGATTCGATTCGATTCGAATCTGAATCCCTATGATTCGAATCCGAATAATTCGAAAATTTCGAATCGAAGATTCAATTACGAATCAAATATATTAGCGTGCATTATATTTGCATGCATCAAGTACAAAACGAGACATCCGTATGTTTGAACCCTTAACTTGTAATTAACTTAACTTATAATTAATAACTTAATTATAAATTACTTTAAATATTTAAATATATATTTTACTTTAAGATGATATATTACAATATCAATATCCCCTTTCATATTAAAACCTTCCATCATTGTGTGCATGTTTAATAGTCATGTTAAATTTTTTAATGATTCGATTCGATTCGAATTCGAATGAAATTTCATAGATTCGATTCGAATTCGAATTAAAAAAATGAGATTCGATTCGATTCGACATAAAAATTCTTGATTCGCACATCTCTAGAGAGTACTTACTTTCCAATCAGCGACGAGCGCTCTATGTCTACGATCTCTACACTCGAGCTCGCTCACCATTTCAGGGTATGGCGTTCAGCATCGAGGAGAGGCAGATCCTGGGCATACACGGTCTCTTGCCAGCAGCTGTGAAGACCCAAGAGGAACAGTTAGAGCTCTGCCGTCGTAATCTCGAGCGCTACACGGATGATCTCTCGAAATACATATACCTCATAGGCCTACTGGTACATTGAACAAGGCGGTTGTGTTATCTCCACCATCGTCGTATCATTCGCGCGCAGAGGAGACACGCTGGTCGTCTCTCCTCCCGCCCCTTCGCCTCTCGTCAGGCCTGCAGCCCTCTCTCTCTTTCACACTGACGCACGGTCTTGTTTCATAGGACAGAAACGAGAAACTCTTCTACCGTTTGTTGTCAGAGGATGTAGCCGGTATGATGCCGCTGGTGTACACGCCGACCGTGGGTCAGGCGTGCGAGAAGTTCGGCCTGGTGTATCGCAGGCCGCGGGGCCTCTTCATAAGCATTCACGACAAGGGCCACGTCTACGACGTCCTGAAGAACTGGCCCGAGCTGGACGTGCGGGCGATCGTCGTCACGGACGGCGAGCGGATACTCGGCTTGGGCGACTTGGGCGCTCAGGGCATGGGCATTCCCATTGGGAAGTTGTCGTTGTACACCGCGTTGGCCGGCATCAAGCCGCATCAATGTTTACCCGTCACTTTGGACGTGGGTACTAATAATCAAGTGAGTGAGGATTTGTTGTTCACGTGACTCGTAAACCACGAAGAAATTCGCGGTTGGTGAATCTCTCTCCGGGAGTAGACGCTCGTTGTACTCATAGACTCGCGCGGTGCTTGACAGATAGAAGGATAGTCCAAACTTTGGTCACAGAGAGAGAGAGAGAGAGAGAGAGAGAGAGAGAGAGAGAGAAAGAGAGATATGTCTGAAAAGTCTCGAGCTACATCTACGCCTAGCTTTCACGCGATGTGTAGGACAATGAGCACCTTACGTTCATCTTGCAGAAATTACTGGACGATCCTCTGTACATCGGTCACAGACACAGGCGTGTCACCGGCCAGGACTACGACGAGCTGTTGGACGAGTTCATGCAGGCCGTGGTGAAGCGATTCGGTCAGAACACGTTGATTCAATTCGAGGACTTCGGCAACGCTAACGCCTTCAGGCTACTCACCAAGTATCGCAACGACTATTGCACCTTCAACGACGACATTCAAGGCACCGCGTCTGTCGCCGTTGCCGGCTTATTAGCCTCGCTTTGCATCACGAAGAGGAAGCTCTCGGAGAACACGATCGTGTTCCAGGGCGCCGGAGAGGTAACTGTGTTGAAACACTTGTTCCAGTACACTTAGGGTAACTTGCGTAAGTTGCGGCAATGCTATTAACAGCGCGTTCCACGATTCTCCAATCGCAATCAATGACGACGTAGTGCTGCTTCGGATCGTGATTAACTTCCAAGTGTTACATCGCCGCGTGAATTTGATAGAGCTTGGGGCTCAGCTTTCGCTTCGTGGTCGAAAAAGCCGTGCATCTTCGTGCGCGTTCGTGTGAAATGTTCTTACTTGAAAATTTGATATTCAGTGATCACATGATCGCATCGATCGGAACAGCGGTAAATCGTGGAGCAGCCGTGAACGATTCGACATCCTCGATAAGAGACAAATGAAGTTTAAACCAAACTGAAGCAACTTGATGTAAAAAGATGACTAAAACTTAAAATCGCTCGGTCAGGCGTCATTAGGCATCGCCTCGTTGTGCGTGGCTGCCATGCAGAAAGAAGGAGTGAGCAAGGAGGAAGCTAAGAGCAAAATCTGGATGGTAGATTCGAAAGGACTGATTGTGAAGGATCGTCCGCGCGGTGGGCTGACGGCGCACAAGTTGGAATATGCGCGCGAGGGCGAGCCGAATGACACTCTGTTGGACGTTGTGAAGATGGCCAAACCGTCGGTCATCATCGGTGCGGCTGCCATCGCAGGCGCTTTCACGACGGAAATATTGCAGGAAATGGCGCGAAACAACGAAAGACCGGTCATTTTTGCTCTGAGCAACCCGACAAGCAAGGCAGAGTGCACTGCTGAAGAAGCATACATCGCTACAGAGGTTTGTAAACTCACTCGTACGCAACAATAATGACGTTCACACAATCGCGTCGCACTTGGAAGATATCTTTGACGAGCTTTCACGACAGACTTTTTCTTATCCTGTCTCAAGAGAAAATTCAAGGGAAATATTTCTTTACCATTTCGGATCCACGATTGCGTTGCAAAAGCGCGAGTCAGCGTAGAGCGTCGCGAGGATACAGTCTTCCTTGACACAGCAATTTCCGCTGGGAACATGCATTCTCGCGCGTGCAATTACGAGCTGCTGATGAAGCTATTTGAGGTATTTAATCGATCCGTCGTTTGAATCGCGCGCAGGGAAGATGCATATTCGCGAGCGGCTCGCCTTTCCCACCGGTGAAATACAACGACAAGATCTTCCATCCCGGTCAGGGTAACAATAGCTACATCTTCCCTGGGATCGCGCTGGCCGCGATATGCGCCGGCATGCGTGTAATTCCCGAGGAGACTTTCCTGATCGCCGCGAGGGCTCTCTCCGAGTTGGTGTCGCAAGCCGACTTGGACAGCGGCAATCTTTATCCGCCGTTGTCCGACATACAGAAGTGTTCGATGCGCATAGCCTGCGCGATCATGAAGTACGCTTATGAGAATTGTGAGTACACAAATATTACGTAGCTCAACATTATCGCTATTATTACAGTGCAAATCTTGTCGAAGTGTGTGTTTTAGTAAATCAGAGATATTAATGAGCGATAGTAAATCAGCGATATTAATGAGCGATTATCGGGTTTCAATTTGTAATGTAAATCTCTCTCTCTCTCTCTCACACAGCGCTGGCGACCGTTTACCCAGAGCCCAAGGACTGCGAGAGCTTCATCAAGGCGCAACTATACGACACGAGCTACAAATCATCCGTGCCGCCCGTATATTCATGGCCAAGCTTGTAATGCCTCCGAATAATCCAACGAGGTTTGATTTTGGGTCCACGAGCGAGAACACACGCATTACACATGCAAGCGCGCATATACACAAAAGTGTTCTCGGCAATTGTCATCAACGAATTTCGCTTACGCTAATCCCTAAGAGCCTGTTGATCGGGCTTACTTTATCCGAAGTACCGAAGCGTCCGTAAGAACGTGACTATATAGTTTATAAAAAGAAAAAGGGCAAAAAAAAATAAAAGGAATTACTGAGGTCGCAAAACTGAATTCGCTCATATTCGATGCGAAGCAGCGTTGCTCGCGAGTGTGCGTCGTCGATCGACGAGCGTAACGGTTTGCTGGCTGAACAAATAAATCTTGACGCTGATTTGAAAGAAATGTATTTATTGCTGCTCGTAATATCGCTTTTCGCAGACATCCCCTTTTCGACGAGCAGCATGTGTAACATTCGTCATAATTCGTAGATGTAGTGAAAACCAAGGTCAAACTTTTCTCTTACGCGGATGATGATACGATCATGCAAATCAAAGATTTCTGTGACTAAAAAAGGTGGGGGTGGGGTGGAGGGGATAGATCTTTGCATGTGCGAACACACGGCACACATCCTCGATTTATGCAACTAAAATCTTCGTAAAACGGAAAACTTGGCTCTACTAACGTACGGCAAAATTTTACTGGGACTTAGGCCAGAAATAGGAAACCGTCGACGGTGAATTAGCGAGACGAGAAGTGAAAGTAATGATGAAAAATGTCGCAGATCCCGCGTACAGTTCGACAACGAGTCACAAATCAAGAGAGTTGATCACGACAGTTAGACACGTTCGAGTGCGGAGAGAAGAAAAAAAAAAGAAAAAGAAAAAAAAAAGAAAAAGACGCAGAAAGGATCGCTGAGAGAACATCCTCTAAGATAATGATGTGTATTCTTATGTTTTAAAATGTATTGTAATTCACAACGATGAATTGTGGATGATACTCCTGACACACTTACTCGCTCCCTCCTTCGTCCGTTCGCTCGTTCACTTTCTCTCCCTCTCTGTCTCAACTCTACCGACATATGTACGCGTAAATCTACCTGTTATATCACTAGTTCCGATTACTTACTGCTAGAACACGTTCGTGGTCGTCAATTCATAACGAACAGATTATTACAAACTGCGGACCCGAGGGTGATCTTTACTCCAAACTCGTTATCGTGGATATTATAACATGGTAATAAATTTAAGGGACAAAATGTACAGAGCGCTTAAAAAATTGTTTACAATTTGCGGGACTCTGTTACGCTACACTGAGCAGACACACTGGCCTTTACACGCGCCAGTAACAGGGACCTCGTCATCGTTTCATGATCATTTAATCCGTGGTAAAAGCAAATTGCAGACGCAACCATCAAGACCAACCTCTCCTTTTTTTCTTTAACAAGCGAGTCAGCGGCCCCTGATCGTTCGTCGTCGAATACACTCGAATTAGCCCAAGTTCCACCGCACTACTGCTATCCCTACGTACGCATAACTCCGCTTTCCGAGAGATCAAGCGCGGATCATGTCGTGAGAAATTTCCAAAAAAATTTAATCGATGTCTTTACATGTATGCGCGCCATTCTAATAGCCTTGCACATTACATCCTTGAGTTTCGTTGCTACGAAAGACATGTTTTCATGAAAACTAAAGATATCAGAACGAAGACGTAGGGCAGTAGTGTCGTTGAAAGTGGAGTGTCTGTCCAGTAGGGAAGTCGGTCCCTTTCCTAGCTTCATCGAGAGAGCGAGTGTGATCGTTCGTGGGTCTGTTGAGAGTCACCGGCTGCCCGCGGGTCAGGCAATCTTTGAGATGCCGGCAGAGCATCGAAAAACGAATGTGTCAATGAGTCCTTTAGGGTGATGCGTTGCGAAGGCTCATACTCTAACATTCGCTGAACGAGGTCAAACAATTGACGATGTTCTTCGTCATCTGATAGCATATAGCGCTGTAACAGACGAAAAGAAAGTGTTACGGACTTACGAGACGCGCGTGATATCGTGAAGCTCGTGTCAGACTTCTCGTTGGCGATTAAAAATATACTTACGATCGAGAACTCATAAGAATTTTAAAGAAAATTTTGGCAGATTCTTCCCGGCGCAATTAGCGCTGCTGATGTCCAATGCGTCGATTCAATATAATTTCAATCCCCGACGCGCGAAGCGCGTTACGGATTCAAGCCCGACAAAATTACTTACGTGCAACGGCTTGCAATTGTCTCGCACGTATCTGCCAGCTGAACTCTTGTCGTCCCAGTCCAGCTTGCCATGATAGAAGTATTTGGTTTTGGTCTTACGCGCCATGCGATGCGGTATCGTGCCAAGTATACGCTCCATCATCGCCAGGTGTTCGCGATTATCGTGCGTTTGGAATAACGTGATGCCCAGGTATAACTCGAACAGGATGCAGCCGATGGACCAAACGTCGCAGGGCTGAGACCAACCCAATTCTGCAATTCAAGAGAGCAACGACGTAACCCGACCGAGCGTGTGATATAACGCGTGTGTACGACGCGCGCGTGCAGCCGGCACGGATATTTTCAGAGAGATGCTCACCTAAAATTACCTCAGGCGCTCTGTAGTGTCTCGTGCTAACGATCGTACTGTGATGTTCGTGATCGAACGTGGCGCTGCCGAAGTCGATGAGCCTGATGTCGGTTCGCTTCACGCGTCTCACATCCCTCCGCTTGAAAAGGAAGAGCTTTTTTGAAACACTTTAGAATAGTGGCTTACCCTACATACTATGTCGAAGCTCGCAGACCAGTGGTCGACGAAAGGAACGGGCGCTAACGAACGAACGTGCGGACGACAGAACATACCTTTTTACTGTTATACGTGCTGTCGTAGTCCGAATCGACGAACAGTATATTCTCCGGCTTAAGATCCGTATGCGTGAGCTTGTTGTCGTGCAAGAATTTCACCGCGTAGCACAGCTGGTAGCCCATGTGCCTGACGTGTTCCAACGGATACGGCTGATAACTGTTGTCCCTCTACGAAAGACAAACCTCGGTTAATGTCAAGTCGGGAGGATTGTTGTTGTCCTCGTTGTCCACGGTACCGGTGGTGTGTTATACTTACAAGGAAATCGAAAACGCTCAAGCCGAGCATCTCGAAGGCGATGCACATGTGTCCGTGATAATTGAACCAGTCGAGCATCTTCACGCAAAGACTGCAACGCGATGAATAACAATTAGCGATCTGGATTACGCATCGACGACGGACGACGTTCTTACTTGTGTGTGGATTGGAATAAGCGGGCAAATAAATGGAAAATAATTGAACACAGTATCGATCGACGAGTAACTCTATCTAATACTAACTGCTGGCCTTCGGGATCCTTGAGGGCGATCTTCTCCAATGCATTTATCTCCAGTTTCGCGGCTTCTCTGTACTTCTCCACGTTCTTGATGATCTTCAAAGCCATCACATGATCCCTGCAACATTCGTCGTCATGATTCACGGTACCGGGAAAGAGCGTCACACCAATTCAAGATCCAGCGTCCCGAGAGGAGACGGGGAGGCGAGTCGTCGCCCACGAGAATAGGAAGAAGAGAGACGCTCTCACGGCGTCGTAAAGAGCGATCGCGTCTGCCGGCATCGTCGTTGCCATCGCGAGAACCGTGATTCCGTATTCCGCTAAAGAGATCCAATTCGCGGCGGTCGGGAAGGCCCGGCTCGGCCCGTAAAACAAAGTGCAAGGCCATCCTATTATTGCGACCACTCGCGCGTCATTTCGTGACAGCGCCGGACGGCTATTTCTGCGCCACGCCGAGACCACTCGCGCGCTCGCGCTCGTCGCAACGCGCGCGCAGCATTTAGGATTTCGTCTCGGCGCGCAAAACGAGGATGACGTGCGCACTCGCGCGACGGCGAACGCGACTGCCGAGGGCGAAACGGCAGACAAAGAGTCAGAGAAAAAGAGAAATATATGGAGAGGAGTAAATATTTAGATAAAGAAATATATATATATATATAGAAAGAGAGAGAGAGAGAGAAGGGGGAGAGGGAAAGAAAGAGGGGAAGAGAGAGGGGGGGAGAGAGAGAGAGAGAGAGAGAAGCGAAGACGCACGGGACGCGAGAGATAAATTACCTACATACTCGTGTGAGCTGGCACACTTACATTTGCTGGTCCTTAACCTTGACAACTTTTCCAAAAGTACCCTCTCCTAGGGTGGCCAGTACTTTATCTGCAATGTAAAAATCGGGGTAAATGCCGTGCGAATACGGGCCTCGCGGCCCACGGAGAGCGCTCGCCCGCGTTGCCCGCGCGCGCGCTGCCGGCGATACGGAGAGGCGCACCCTCCCGCTCACCTTCGGGCGGGTGACCCGCGTCCCGTCGCTCTCTACCGAGATAAGGGAGACGGAGGAAGGCCCGGCGGTCCAAGGAGAACCGTCGCGCGCGGAAACAAAAAGGGGGAAAAACGTCAGAGAAGAAACACGGGCGAGGCTCTTCCGCGTGGGCGCTCGGTCGTTCTCGTGCCGGCTTTATAATATCGTATGTCACGCGCGCGCGCGCGCGCGCGTGCGCGGCTTCGCCATAACGAGCAAATGAAGAACGGTAATCGTGGCGGAGAGATTTTTACCAATGACATCGAACAGAATCGCTGCTCTTCTAGAGCACCCTGCGACTGGGTTGATAGCCCTGACAACCGCGCGTCGTAGATACGTACGTGCGTACGAAAGAACGAACGAACGAACGAACGCGCGCGCGAGACATGGCATTTACTGTCGATCGCGAGAGAGGAGGAGAAGAAGAGGCCGTCTCTCGTTTTTCTCTCTTCTCTTTTTCCTCTCGTCGTCCGCGGCGCGGCGCGACGCGACGCGTAGGCGAGACGTCGAGAGAGAGAGAGAGAGAGAGAGAGAGAGAGAGAGAGAGAAAGAGAGAGAGAGAGAGAGAAGATAACGGCGAACGGGACGCCCGAGAGGAACGACAGTGTGAACAAATGAGCGAACAAACGCGCGAGAGAGTAAATGCCAGGTGTCCTCGCGCGGGTATCAAGAGCAAGAGGAACACGTCATCCCGAGGAGGACGTATCGAGGAGATAGCGCAAGCGGACTTTCGTCTCTTTTCTGATTCGTTTTTTTCTCCTGTTACTTTTTTTTCTGCTTTACGCTTGTCTTTTACATCTCTGCTCCCTTCCTCCGACTGTCTCTGTCTTCGTATCGTCCTCACCGTGCCGCGAGAACTGCGAGGTTTGCGTGTCTCTCGAACAGGAGCCGAGAAGGACGAGATGAAAAACTCTTTATTTGCGCAGACTTCCCGATAATCGTCGTCGTCGAGGTGACGAGCTCCCTAACGTACCGTCGAGACACGTGGTGAACGCCACGACGTCACTGCTACTACTAATCTTAACTTTTTTTTTTTCTGAAATAAATCGTTAGGCAGAGACAAACAGATAGAGATTGTTCTACTCTTTTTTTTCTCTTTTTTTAATCTTTTTGTCTTTCGCGTATTTATTCCGGCTTGTAGCACGCGGTAGCGTTTGGAAAGTTCAATGAGGAGAACTCTCGATCGCGCAACGCGTGCTGACGCGTCTGACAAATGTGCGGACTAACGAGTGTATTATCCATATAAAAAGTGTATCTAGTATGTCAATGTATGCGCGTAAGTGTACATTGAACGACGCTCAGCGAGAACATCGACAACATCGACAATGTAATTAGCGCGTGAGACTGTAATTCTTGTCGTGGTGTAGAGATTGTTCCACAGTATGTAATGCCTACTGTTTAGGCGGGGAGAAGTGAAAGAGAAAGAGAAAGTAAGGAAAAAAGAAGTGTGCAACAGAGAAGAGAGAGAGAGAGAGAGAGAGAGAGAAAGAGAGAGAAAAAGAGGCCTATTGTAAAGATTAAAAATTGCATGATAGAAAACAGTAAACGAAATGAAAGAGAAAATGAAGTATCACAGAGAGACAGAAATGAAGTTGAGTAGATAGAGGCATATAGACAGACAAACAGACAGACAGATCAGAAGAGAGTGATACAGAGACAGAGAAAGAAAAATGAGAAAGAGAGAAAGAGAAAGAGAGACAGAGTATGGGCAGATACCGCAGATAACCGTCCGATCGATCGATCAATCAATCGACCTGAGGCTTTGCTTAAATCTACTACAATGAGTGTATTCACGTATTCACGAACATCTATTTGCCAGGGTGTCGCCGGATTGGTAAACAAGGTGGCCGTCTTCGTCGTCCTCGACGGAGGGCGGTCGTGGGCTCTATTCGGGCCGGCGTATCAGTAATCGACGCGTGCCAAGAGAAGGACCCAATCGCAGGCCGCGGACCACACCACCGATGGTTCGATACCCCGTTTCGCGTCAGTCAGGCCGATTCGTTATCGTCGAGTGGAAGCGTTGAGTCGTGGCCAGAGTGTAGTGGTTGGCGTGTGAGTACCCGGTGAATCGAGCGCCGTGTTGTGGTAGATGGTAGTAGCCAAGCCGGTCACATCCGCGTCCACGTGGGCAGCCATGGGATCGTCGTCGTCGTCGTCGTCGTCGTCGTCGTCGTCGTCGTCGTCCACATCAGGAGATGAAAAGAGAAGAGCGGCGCATCCACCAATCGTCCAGGTAACACCACCACGTGTCATCCATCCAGCGTCACCACACCACCGCCACCACCACCGTCGCGAGTCGACCGACAAGACCCGTGTAACACGCGGCAGAGGACGTGTGTAAGCACGGGACGAACGTACGAGTGTGTCGGTGGGGGTAGGAGGGTAGGATAACATCATGGGCATCATCATCAACATCGTCGTAGTCGGTCATCGTCATCGCCACGGCCATTATCACCATCATCATCATCATCATTATCAGCATCATTATCATCATCATCAATGTTCATCATCGTGATTGTGATTATGATCATCATCATCAGCGTCATCGTCGTCATCACCATCGCCATTATCATCATCATTATCGTCGTCATCATCATCATCATCATCATCATCATCATCATCATCATCATCATCATCATCATTATCATCATTATCATCATCGTCATATTATCATCACATCATCGAGTGAGAAGAGATAGAGAGAGAGAGAGAGAGTGGCCAAATCGATCCGAGCGCCCGCCAGTCGACCAAAGTGAGTGAGCGAGAGACCAATCCGTCGTGTGTGCCATATCCACATCCACATCCATATCCATATCCATATCCATTCCATTCCATTACAACGGAGATGGTAACCCAACAATCAGAGAGAAAGGGGAGAGGGCAAAATGGTTTGCCAAGTCAGAAAGTTGCGGTTACGAATTTACCATTTTTTATTTTCGGCACAAAGCGCGTGACTATGTACCATTCTTTTTTTTTCTTTGTTTTTTATCTCTCTTTTATTTAGTTTTGTTTCACGACACTCGTTTCCCTACCCTTTTTTTCTTTAACTTTTAATTACTTATTCGTTTGAGTTTCGTTCGCCTTTATTTTCTTTTTTTAATATTTTGCCTTTAATCTCACTCGCCTACTCGCGCGTTTTACGTATAACCCGTGTTTTAAAGACCCGATTATGCGTGTGCCTCGAAGAAGAATCCCGTCTCGGACACGCGCACGGCTCTATTGTTGGGCTTAGAGCACTTCTTACGGCATCAAACGACCATGAATGCGCATTCTAAACGTAACGCAGATAGATAGAGAAAAGCAGAGAGAGAATAATGTGCGTTATGTACATGTACAAATCGCGGCAAGGTATATGGCAAATGATTTTTGATGACTATATATATATATATATATATATATTTTATATATACATATATATATATATACACACACGCATGCATTTTTCTACTCCATTATAGATCGGCGATTATTCTACGAACGATACGGCGAATTGTTTCTCGTTTAGTCGCGATGAGGGATAGAAGAGAAAAATTGAAAAACTAAAAATGAAAAGGAAAACGGACGGTTTCTTCGAAGTGCTCATAACGCGTATTTTTCGTTTTCTTTTTTTCTTTTTCTTTTACGGTTTTATCTTTTTGTTCTTTAACACGCTCGGAGAGATAGCTCTTGTTAAATTGTTAATTGCTCGATAGATCGTCAAGTACTTACGTGTGCGCGCAAACGGCTGCTCCACGATGACCGGGAGAGATTGTCCGATCATCGTGGGACAGAGCCGTTGCGACAATTACGGCATGGCGACACTGATCGACGATCGGATTTTTCGATCCTACCTTATCGAGAAACACGACGCGCGAACAACGATCTATCTATTGCGGATCGCCGATCGCTACTAGATCATTACTCTACACACGGTGGAATAAAACGGAAAGGAAGAGTGGAGAGGCAGGACCGCGTATACTCTCTCGTAATTCTCGCGTGTGCTTCGTCGTCGAGACGGCAGCAGTCATCTAAATCGCTATAATTATCACGATGTAACTCTGCAATTCTTTATTTTGCTGAGGTGTCGTCAAATTTTTTTTCAAGTACTGCTAGCCGTTGGCGCGCTAGCGTGTAATCTTGGATCCTCGATAAACGCGTGACAAAATAGACATTTTTCTAAGCCGACTGACGAATGCGTGACGAATGTGAATCGAGTCTTAGCATCGATGTAAATAGCGCCTATGTCGTGAATGCATTTCACTCGTGGAACGCGACTCTCCCAGAGTCCAAAGGAACCGAATCGAGAAGCTGATCTTCTCTCGAGCCTATGCCTTCAAACCTATGAAAAGTAAAAATTGCTCTTCAAAAATATCAAACATTTTATCCATTCTGTGAATGCTCCATTTGGAAAAAGAACTCCTCTTCCTATCACAGCTGAATCCGACTCTGCTGCGTTCATCAGACTTCGGACTTTGTCGGAGGTAACGACACTGCACTACCGGAGGTAGTTCTTTCGGCGGCTCTGACCGAGTCGCGCGTGTCAACAATATCAATAACTAGTTAATCAGACCGATTTTCCGCCGATACTCCGGTACCACGACAGCATGAAGATGAAGGAAGAGAGGAGGGCGCTAAGAGGAGAGGAGCTCGCACACCACCAGCTGCACACGCACCACCTTACACACAAAATATAAACAGACGCACGCGCACACACGCACGAGGTAGGCAACAGGGAGAAGGCGGGAGGACGACGACGACGACAACAACAGCGGCGGCAACGGACACGCTCTCTACTTAAAACTGCGCCGCTTTCGCAAGCGAGCGAGCGAGCGAGCGAGCGAGCGAGCGAGCGAGTGCGCGCGACCAGCCCGGGTGCTGCGGTTCGACAACTTACAATCGCGTCGTGGACCGCGTCCACCACGTTGCTAATCGCACTCGCGCCCGTCGACGCTATCACGGTGCCCCCCTTCGACGCGTTGTCCTTGTGATTGTTATGCTGCTGTTGCTGCTGATTGCTCTTCCTATACTTGCTGGCAATGATGTCCGTCGTGCTGGGACGCGCGTTCACTTGTCCGCCCGACGCCAACTGGCTGTACGCGTCCTCCATGGCGACGTATTTCAGGATCAGACTCTGAATCTCCTTTCGCTTGGCCGCGCGGTCCGAGATGGTCGGATCCTCGTCATCCTCCGCAAGCGCGTCGTGCACGCTTGGGACGTGATCGTGATTCTCGAGGAAAGTCACTTGCCCGTCGACGATCGGCGTCTTGTCCCGATCGATCGCGACCTGCGACTTGCCGCTGTTGGCGAACGCCATTGGGTCGATCTTGACCGGTCGGGACAGTCTGAGGGAGGTCGAGTGTGCCTCCAGTTGCTCGCTCTTGCCGTTCCGGTGCAGTCGCACCTTCCGGCTGCGCGTTTCCGCATGGCCGGACTTGTGTCTGCCGTAACGGCGATAAGCTTCCGAATTCAGCAGAGTATGGCGATCAGTGCGGGTATAGGCGGGTGTCTTCTCGCGCCTGGGTTCCCGGCCCATCGCCGAGCTCACGTACGGGTAAGCTTTCTCGCTCAGCAGCACGCTCGTCGGACTCTTGATGATGCTGCGCGTCATCGAAGGCTCCAGCGTCTTGTCGTCGCGCACGAAGGGACTGTCGTCACGGTGATAATAACTGTGATCACGTTGCTCTTGCTTGCGGGAATAGTCGCGGACACTCCGCTCCGAGCCGTCGACGTGTCTCTTGCCGGCGTACTTGTCCAGGATCATGCTGTACTTGTCCTCCAGGCGACTTCGCGTGTTACCAAGTCGACCGATGTTCGGTGATCGCCTGGCGCTGGCGCCTCCCACACCGCGCTCGTTCAAGGTGGACGTCCCGCGCACTCTCGTGGTCAGTTTCTGGAGCAGACTCGTGCAGGAGTCGCTCAGCATCTGCGTGACGCTCGTCGTGGTGGACGAGCGAGCATAGCGACCGCGAGTTCGCGAGGTCGAACTATGTCGAGAGGTCGACATGTTGTCGCGCGGCGCGAATATGAACATCTGGAACGGCGACGGTGGCTCGAAGGTCTCTAAATCTTACGAGGAGGAACGATCCTATCTTGTTCTCTCTCCTGAGAGAGATCGTAGAGGAATATCGACGAGCCTCGACGAGCACTCAGATCAGCATTCGTCCTAACGAATCTCTCGCGAGAAGATTTCAGAGCGACATGCTCGGGTTTCGGCGGATACGTCGCACGAGAGGAGAGGTCGCGGAAGAAGAGCAATCCACAAAGGCACCTAGAGACTGACGAGAGGGTCTTCTACGGAGGTACATCACTACGACGGAGAGGCGCGAACACGCCGACTGTGCGCGCGAAAGGAACGCCGTCGAGGAAGACACTAAACCATGACCACGACGACGGTCATGGAGACGACGACCACGACGACGACGACGGCGGCCGGGCGGCGGTCGGTCGTTCACGAAGACGACGAAGACGACTACGACGAAGAGGAGGCGAAACTCGGTGTGCCCCGCCAAATACTCTCTCTCGTCGCACTAAAAATATCAGAGAGCAGTGGTGAGCCCGCTCGCGACGCGAACGATTCGTCCTCCTCTCTCGAAACCGACTCTTCGAGAGCGATCAGAAGCGGAGCGACGGAGAGGAGAGGAAGAGAGAGAGAGAGAGAGAGAGAGAGAGAGAGAGAGAGAGAGAGAGAGAGAGAGGAGAGAGAGAGAGAGAGAGAGAGAGAGAGAGAGAGAGAGAGAGAGAGAGAGAGAGAGAGAGAGAGAGAGAGAGAGAAGTTGATAGCGCAACACGCGCGCGAACGAGAGGGACGGATAGAAATAGAGAAAGAGAAGCTAAATACAGGTGGGAAGAAGAAGAAGAGAGACGGAAGCCGAAGGAGGAGGAGAAGCAGAACATGATGAAGGAGGGATATCACCACCACCGGGTGGTATTACGTAAATTGCTTCGCGCTTCTTCGGTACGGGATGTCGAAGTTCGGTACACTCCGGGAGGAGCTTGGCGATCGCCGTGCATGCGTGCTTCCTGATGCGTATGTAACAAAGGAAGAAGCACCGTTCGAGCTGAGACGCAAACGGCGACGTGTCTACGCGACACGCGTAACGGGAAAACACGCACTTGCGTTTTCGCATGAAACGCAACGCCGACGCAACGCAACGCGACGCGTCGCGTCGCTACGCGCCTGCACCTTGACACACATAGAAATTACGAAACGGCCGCGACGCCAATTCGATGTGGAGTAGGTCTACCGCGTGGCCGAATATTGGCCACCAGAGTCCCAGACAACGTGGGCGCTCTTCAACGGGTGAAACACGATGTTACAACTGGCGAGAACGAGAACCCGTCTCACACCGCCTGTTTCCCGCGTGCGTACGAAACGTAGGGTCTCTAGCGCATTTGTTTTTTAGAAAATGGAAGGAGCGAGGTAAAAACATACCGCTCGCTTTAATGCGTCGAAGAATACAGGCGAGCACGTGCCTGACTGACGAAAGGACAGCGCGTCTTCGAGCAGACTCGCTGCAACGAGTTCTGACGTGAAATGAAACGACACGGAAAGCAGGGCTCGTGAATTCGGAGTTATAAACAAGGAAATAGAACCTGGAAGGTGTGAAGTAAACCCTAGAGAAGACTAGACTTAGCTAAAATCGAAGGCCCCGAAACGCGGTTCGTGGCACTCTGGTACTATTAATAAAGCTCGGGTTGTGTCTTCAAGGTCGCGACGTCGAGGCGCAAATCGTCCTATCGTAGGTTTTCCCTCCCGTGTCTGATGTATCAGTATAAATAAGCGACAAAATCGCGGCGCAGTTAATCCGCGAGACGGCTTCGCCCACGAAGGCGTGTGTGTCGTATCATCGGTTTCCTGAAACATCCCCGAAATATTTCCTGGCCGACCCGGCCGATCAATTTGGCTCGAGTTCGGGATTGGGACTATTTAAGAATCCGGATGTATACGCGCGCTCTTTTTATCGGAATAACGAGCGGCGAGTTAATACGTCGTCCAACCAAGCAACGACGTGACGGCTGGAACAACGAGAGAAACCATCTCGCGGCCGTCGAAATTCCGGCAACGATCTCGGGAGCGAGCGCGTTAATTAAGAATGCAGATCGACGATGACAATTAGCCGGGAGTGGGAGTGAATTGAGGGCGATGACGAAGTTGCGGAAACATTGGCATCAGCCGGACCGCCGCGAACGCAGTGAGTGAATCATTAAGCGTTGTAGAATTACAGAATCCCTCCCCCTCTTCTTACCGAATCGCTCGCGTTATTATGATAACGGAAGTGCCAGCGACACCGTGCAAGCTATGTGCCGAAAGCTCACTCTCGCTCGCCTGCGTGCTCGTTCTTCCGCTCCCTACTTCAACAAGACATTGACCAAGGTTAGGCTATGCTATTGGGTTAAAAGCGGCGAAGTGACGGAGAGAGGACGGGAGGACGCAGCGCTGCTGGAGCGCTCGCGTCGTTCTCCAAGCTGCGTCTCTCGTCTTCTTCTGCTTCTGCTTCTTCTTCTTCTTCTTCTTCTTCTTCTTCTTCTTCGAGAACGGGCGACGCCAAATATAAACCGGTGATAGCTTGAAACGCGTGCGCCACGATCGTCACGCGTAGAGAAGACCAACTCGCCGCCGTCAGCGCGCTGCGTTTAAATGTTAAAATCCTGGCTAGTTGACCAGCTCGGCAGAGGCTCGCGTCGTGTCACCGCTGCTGTTACATGGCGGAGGGCCAACAGAAATGGGCGCCTACGCATTCTTCGTGTTAACCCTTTCACCGCGGAAAATATAGTTGCGATTTTTTCGCGTTTATTTTGAGGATACCCTGTGACTGCTTCGATAGGTCAAAGTGAGAAATCGAATCTCGACAAAGTCTGCTGCACGTTAACGCCGACGAAGATATATCAGCAAGATATTAGCAGCGGAAAATGGAATTCAAATCGAGTATATTTTACCGTTTCTGAAATCTGCGAGCAAGTAATTCCAATTATTCGCGCTTCATTCTACTTGGAAGCTGTTAAAGCACCGCCACCTTTGCGAGACTTTCAACATGTTGCAGTTCTATAACTGAAACTCGTGGTACACGTCGCATTCCTCAGTGACGAACACTGCACAGCTATATTCGCGAAGACGACGAAATCGACAATATCTCAAAGAGAACATCGTCGAAAGTGGCCGGCAACGCGAGAAGAGGACTCTGAAGTGAGCGCAGACTCGAGCGATTAATTTTTACACCAATTCTGCCCGTCGCTTCTCGTCTGATTAACAATTATTTTTCCAACGGCAAACAAGAGACTTGATGAAGTGGACCGTGACGTGCGATGTGTCTCGAGTCTGCAGTCACCGCCTCACGGGGTCTCACGGTTCACAGGGAGAGGAGCATCGGGCTAGGTAGGCCTCTAAGGAGAACCGGCGAGAGTGCGATCGCGCAAAAACACTGAGCATAATAAACACGCGTAACACACTCGAGCGGCGAGGCGCCGCTGTTTATTACGCGAAGTGGTCTCGATGCACTCGTGCTACCTCGGAAGACGACGTATCGTTAGTCTCGGGCGTGACGTCGAGTTTCACGTCAAACTCCCTGCTGGTGGCCTGGGCGGTAGCGTTGCTGCGCTGCAACCACGCGTCCCAGTCGTGACGCGGCCACCAGGGAACGCTCCCCGGCATCAGCATACTCAGTTCTTGACTCGCCAACATCCGGTAGGTCGACGACGACGGTGACGACGACGTGGCCGATGCTGGAATATTGTCGACCAACGCGCCGTGGCCGTCGCCGTCGTCCAGTTCACTCCAACTTGCAGGATCCAGGATGATCGAGTGCCTAGTACGCGGTTCTTCAGCCAGGCACCTACAACACCTCCACCTTGCTTCGTGCCGGCTCTCACGACGAGCACATCTTGCCAACTGCAACCCGCGCGTATTTCTAAATCCAGGTTGCGAACGATTCTAGGTCGCCGGTCGGCCGGTGGTGCGTCGCCGGGCTGTTCTTCTTCCTACCGACCGCGATGCTCTGGTGTACGCGTCGTCCGCTTCCGGCGGACCAGCCTGTTTGCCGAGGCGATGTTCCTTGACGACGATGACGACGAGGAGGAAGAAGAAGAAGAAGAGGAGGAAGACGACGACGACGACGACGACGACGACGACGTTGCGTTGGCCATCTGGCGCAAACTCGTACTAAAACCGCGGTGAAACCGCGTGACGAGTCCCCCTCGAAAATAGTCGCCGGTCGAAAATAGCCGACGTCGGGTAAGAAAGAAGAATCATCGGCATTCGCTCCGGGTATACGCGCCGTGTATGCTCGTTGCGCCACGAGATTCTCCAGAGACTGTTCTCGCGCTTGGTGAAGCGCGTCGATGTGCTGCCAGCACCTTTCTCACTCTCCTTCTCTCTCCCTTTATGTGCGGCGCTACACGCCTCGTGTTTTCATATTTCCATCGTGTATTGATCATCGTCAGCGGGAATTTCCCGTCGCGCGTTAAAGCTCGATAAATAGCATAAAAACTAGTTCGGACCTTCGACAATCTCAGCTGGACTCCACGTCGTCAAAAGCAGACTTAGAAACTTAGACTCCGTTGCGGAAAGCCCGCTCTCTCGCCCGCTCGGTCATACCGATTCCTCCTTGCGCTTTTCTACGTCGACTATTATGGAACTCGATGATTATTATAAATAGACAATAACGAGAATCTCAGAGAGAGAGAGAGAGAGAGAGAGAGAGAGAGAGAAAGGGGAGGGGGAGAGAGAGAGAGAGAAACTACTGGATAAGAGTGCATTTTATGCGCGCGGCTAATCAGTTTTCCCCTGAATTGTTTTAAATCTATATTTATAGAAAAAATAAAAAATCTTGCGACGAATTTGCGTCTCTTGAAAACATTGGATTTGAGGCATTTTCTATGCTTTTTGTTTATTAACACATAGTTTATATTTTTCTCGCGTCGGATAATTTTGGATAGACGCATTCGTGAAAATAGGCGCTATTTCACGTATACATACCTAACATACCTTTTCTGCAATAAATTCCCTTCGTATACGAGACAATATAAATTATTTAT